GGGAAAGAACATCAAAGAGACAAAGAATGATTCTACAAATCGGTCTGTGTGAACGAAAGAAAATAGAAGCTTCTGGGAGGCCAGAGTATACTAGAGAGGCAACCATTGTAGAAAGTTAGCTGCCAACAAGCTTAACTCTCAACGCCTTTCTGAATGCTCAAATCTTAATCAATATTAGTCCTGATTTAAATCTTTAAGGTCTTAATATGTAGCTTTATGCTTAGCTCTGCCCTAGAGCTCATTTCCATCATAGATGAGCCTACTATAATTATCAATACATGGAGTTTTCTGACTGGTGCTTGAAATGGAGTTTCTGGCTCTGACCCTGAAGACCACTCGGAAGTTCATCCCATGATGCAGCACAGTTGTCCATCTGTCTGAGCAGACATTTATCTATTCTTGAGGAGTTCTCTTGCCACTCAGGGTTAATCAAAACTCAAAGCATTATTTTTATTTATAAAGCAGAAATTTGTTTGTGTTTACCTATTAGAAGGATTACATCCTAACTTGTGTTAAAACTGGGGCTTTTGGAAGAACAGGCCTTAGATGAAGCTGTTGGGCTACTGTTGGGCAATTTATTATCCATGCACAAAGAGCAGCTTTGGAATTTCCTTGTTGATACAAAAAGAGTATTGATCTCTGAATTCTTCTGCAGTGGTCAAATTGCAGGGATATGCTTTTCTTCCGTCTCTTCTCAGCAAAAAACATACATGTTTCATTGGATATGCTAGGGAAGGCATATGATGTTTGTGGGTATGAGTACACATAAAAACCAGTAAATTGTAATCAGGTTGTGTCTGATCATTACTGTGTAGGTCACATCACACTCAGCGAGATGACAGGCTTGCTTTCTCATTAGTAGCATTCCTCTGAATAATTCAGTTTACCATGAAAAAACACACGATCAATCTCAAAATGTTCTGAAGGTTCCAAGAATTTGAAACATCAACTTCCCCTATTCAAAGAACACCAGCTGTGCCTCAGTACTCTGAAAAATCTGGGCTTTGTAATGAAAGCCTATATTTTTACCCAAGAAAACCAATTATTTGAAGCTTGCACATAGACCCAGTTTTCCCTTCACAAAATGAGAATTGTAGTACCCTGAGCCACAGGAAGGCAAGGTAGCTTTCACAGAGAAATTATTTTTGAAAGAAACTAAGTAACCATGTGAGTTCTGTACTTCATTGAATTGCTAAACATTTTAAAATGAAATCCTTTGATAATTATTGGAGGCTTGAATAAAACATAAAAGGTACTCAAACAACCCTATTCACAAGGAACAAAGAGCAGTAAAACTCGTATTTTTAGCAGAACATGTCTAAATCTAAAGGGTTGTTTTCCCTACTGAAAACAAATCCCTACTTGCCTCAAAACATAGCTCTTTGCAACTAAGTTATCTACTGCTATCTTTATGGGTGGCTCAGTTTAACTATAGTCAAGGCCTATGCATTATAGAAATATAAATTTATTAAACATGCTACTGAAAGCATTTGCAATACACAAGACACATTAACTGTATTGTTACCTGAATTGATATAATCTTTACCAGTGATGCAGGAAGAAGCAAAGTATCTCTTCCTTGTAAGGTCAATAGGGTTTGAGGTCCGAACTCTCTCTACGGTGTTTCCCTCAATGAGGCACTAACAGGGTTTTTGTACTTCACTATCTCTGTTTTGTTGGGGCAGGAAAAGACAAGGGAGGATCTCGGAGGACAAGAGAATCACATTTCTTTAAGAACCTAGCCTAAATCTCTGAGCCAAGAAAGGTTTCACAAACCGTTCTGAAGTACATTTGCAGGCTATGTAGTAAAGTCCTTTCCCTGCCCAACACATCTCCACATCACTTCTGTGAGGGGTCCTGCTTCCAAGATTTATCTCCCTGTGACAAAAGAAAGCACAAGAGGCTTTTTCTACCTTCTTTCCCCTCAGTCAGTTCAATAATGGTGTTTCTGTGGGAGGAAGAGGTAATACAGTATCATTTGGGAGGATGTGAATTTACCACACCTACACACTGTAGTTACACCACACACTGTTCTGCTCCCACCCGGTTCACGGGAACACATCCCAAGGATTAAAGCAGGAACAAGAACAGATCTCTGAAGTCTCCAAGGTTTCCTTTTAGTTGCATTTTAGATAGTTTTGCTTTGCTCTGACACCATGATTTAGTAAAGAAATTACTAGTGGAAGTTATGTATCTCAGTATATATTGAATTTTTTTTTTTTTTTTTTTTTTAATAAATGACTACTGGCATAATGATGAATTTTCTGGAAAGTTTATCCCAGTTTCACATGAACATGGTTGAACTGGAAGATTTGATGTTGATACAGTTATATATAAAAATGATGGAAAATATTTTCTAGATCTTCTACATTGTAAATAATTGTTATCAGAGAGAAAATTATTAGCGTTTCTAAATAAGCACCCAACAAATCCTAGCTAACAGAAGGAGCTTCACACAAAAACTGAGTTGTTGAACATTGTGAATCTCACTGTTCAATGATGATAAATGAAGGTTTGGTAATACTACGTATTGAGTTAAAGAAAAAGGTGCACAGCATTTTCCCCACATCTATTGGGGACAAGCATCAGGGAAACTGCAGTTTACTAGAATTTTGGGTGAGGGTGAAGTTACTAATCCTGGCACTGCCCACTATGGACTGATTCATCCCCAGTGACACTGCTGGTCTTTGCAGGTGGTTTATCCAAAACAACAGCCCCAAAACAGGGAGAGATCATAACAGCCTTTCAAATCGGAGTACAGGAAATCTAGAAAGAAATCTGGTTGCAGGAGACTCACAGGGAATTGTTGTTTATGCACTTTGAAATAAAGTTAGAAATAGACAAAGCATAAAAAAACCTCCAAGCAAATAGGTGTAGTTAAACAGCATTTGCAACAGTAGATGAAAATGTCCTCTATTTTAGAACATGATGGATGTCAATGAAGAGAAAATAAGCCATGTCCAAACTAAAATAACAACATTGGGCTAATTGCTCTATGGCAGTATTCCCATCCACCTCAAAATCAAATAGGATTACAGGAACTGAATGAATGCTCTATTTGCTCTTATTGCAGGCAAAGACTCCAACAATAACGGCAATTCATACGTGTCTGAGTGTTTTCTCAGTCACTGAAACATGTCACTTGAAGAAATGCCTGAAATATTGTACATTTAAAGGTACAGGTGATCTGATTATTAGACATACTTGCTGCAAGCAAGACGGTATTCATTGTGTTGTTTTGACCTCTTGCTCTTGCCTCTGTAGGAAGTTATTTGTAACTGGTCTTCAAGACCAGGAGTACAGAGTGCTATGCCTCTGACCATTGCAGCCAATGCTAGTTAGGGCAAAAAAACCAAGAGAGTTGCATTGAGTTGTTCTTTTAAGTCACATCCTCAGATATGGACCTTTCTGTGGTGTTTGACTGATCTTTTGGCTGTGGAAAAGAGGCCTT